GTTATTTTTATCGCATGGTTTAGTTTGGTTTCATTTTCATATTTTAAAAATATGAGAGGGAAAATTAATTACTATTTTAAATGTTTAAAAACGTGGCTGGAACTTAAAAATTGGCTCACTAATGGTAAAAATAAGAATGAATGCTTACACCAGCATGGTATTTTTTAAAGATTCTGACACTCTGAGTTACTAGTTCAAATCAGACGCAGGCGTTAAATAGTATGTCATCGTTAGCTGTTCACATTTGCAGTTGGTCTGTAAGCATGGACAACACACAGACTAAATGTGTGATAACCAAAAATATATCCAAAAGTAGAGTACAGGTAATCTTGTCCCTTAAATGTAGCTATAATACAATCATTCTTTGGGATGTTAAGATTAAAAAAGTATTGAAAACAGAACATCATCTAAATATTTTTCCTATAACTGAATTTATGAAGAGTTACCTGTCTGCGCCTGTGAGTGGTACATTCATGGATCCAAAATATTGTGGATTGATAATGTTCAGGGAAAATTTTTTCCCTAAAAATACGGACTTTTCATCATTGTTCTCCAAATGATACTGTATAACTCCTATTTGCATAGCACTTAGGTTGCATAGGTGTTATAAGTAGTCTAGAGTTGATTTAAAAATATACGTGAGGACATATATACATAGTTAGATGAAAACGTTATTTTATTAGGTGATTTTATCATCTATAGATTTTGGTGTCTACAAAGGGGTGCAGGAACCAACTCCCATAGATAGCAAGGATTGACTACAGTAGATAATTTTGTTAGCTTCAATGTTATCCTTGCTTATCGAGTTAATTTTACACAGCTTCAGAAAGTTATACAATATAGTATCTAAATGATAAACCATATAAACCAAATGATAAAATGTGTAACTATATGCTATTATTATAAACTATATAAATAATAAAACATATAAACTGAATAATGGGCAAAAACTAGAGCATTTCAGGTTTACTGACAGTTCAGATGTGTGTCACCTTTCTGTGATACAGATAAGTGTCTTTGACTTTGCCCACTTTTCTTGCAAGCATCTTTCTGGGGAATTGCTTTCATCTTCTTCCCTACCTCGAGAATGTCGCCAGTGGAAATCAAGGGCTTTTCCAACCATGTCTCTTCCCAGGGACCCACCGTCCAGTGCTGGGCAGATGTTTGAAATGCAGTTTCTCTTGACCTTTCCCAAGCAAATGCTTGCAGATGTTCTATACCACTATTCTGCACTTGACATGCTCTAAAAATATTTATACTTTGCAAACACAATATTAGATTGTTTTACAACCAAAAATTATCTTCTTGAGTAACCCTCATACAATATTTTTGTCTCACTTATGCCTCACTCTGTAAATATTCCTCGTCTCTTGTTTGCATTCTTATCAGGGTGAAATAAATCACTCAGTATAATCTACAATTTTATTTCCCGTTTTACTGTTGCTTTGGAACAATGTATTGTATGGATCAAGAATGCAAAATATGACAAAGTTTGCTCATATTATTTTTGTTAACCATTTCACTCATATGGGCATTTCAGTTGGTTCTTATTTTCTCTAACTTGATTAAAAATGAGATGAATATTTTTGCATACATCCTGAGAATAAGATCAAGGTATAGTAAAATCCAGACTTTTCCTCTGAAGCAGTACTTCCACAGATTTTTCCCTCTTCTCGTATTCTAACAAGGTTCTCTCAGACTTGTAGACCTTCCTCAGTGTTATTTATTTTATCTTGTTATCAAGGTCTTCTTGTATAGCACTTACTGTATTCAATATACTTTTGTACACATTTCATAAATAATTTCATTTTCCTATAATGTATTTCTATAAAGATTATTATTCTCATTATTCAGAAGAGGAAATTGAGCTATAGAGAAGGTCAGCTTGTCCAAGGATTTAGACCCTGCTCAGGAGCCTGAATCATCCAGCCAATTAGAATAGGCTCATTCCTGTACTCTAATTCCTGCAAATGGGAGAGAATTTTTAACTACATGCCTTTGCCAGTATAAATTTGTTAATATAACTACAGTATTCTGTTTCCTCTACCAGCGATGTTCTCTCACACATACAATTAGAGAGAAGCAGCTAGGATTTTCTGTTATGATTTATTGGGGCATCCTTCTCTTCATTTGATTCATGCCCATGAGTCAAAACATACTGAAGAAATAGCTCTGGGTCGATGTAGTAAAATTCATTGATGTAGTGTTACCTGTGAGGTAAGTTTCATGTACCGTAATACACAAAGTGTGAGACACTAAGCCAGATGTCTGTCTCTAAGTCAGCTCAGCACTCACAACACCTGTTCTGTTGGAGCCCAGTTTTGGGAAGTGAGGGATTAAAGTAGCAGGAGATATTTAGAGTATTTACAGTTCAAGTTTAGTGGGGGATTTCTATAAGAAGGCATGGTGTCTGAACACATGGGAAGCATTGGTCCCAAGCCATGGGCTTCCCTACAAACATCCTGCATGCTGAGCTCCAGGTCCTACAGTCCTGGTCTATCCCAGTATGAGTTCTGTGCAGCCCTGTTTCAGCAACTTCATGCTACCCATGAGGTGCTGATTATTTTTATGTTGAAAGAAGCTTTGTTTAGACCTGGTATTCTAAGTTGAATGTAGCAAATTGTAGGAAAAGGTCCACCTCTAAGCAGATTACTGTCTGTTTAAGTAGACAAGCTGGCTTCCCTAGAAGAAAAGGAAAAACAGTTTTAGATTTTTTTAAAAAATGCTAGGAAAAGGAAGCAGATGGAGTGGGAGAAAATCCCGTCTGTTGGAAAGAGCCAAGATGCACAGCTTAAGAGAAAACATCCCCACACAGCAGGATACGCAGCCGACTGTAAGAACTGCACAGAGGGGATGCTCCAGGAGTCCCCTCTGCATCCTCTGAGCTGAGGGCTCCCTGGACTCCGGACTGAAGAATTCAGCCCGGTGGCATTCCTGTCCTTGGTGAGGCTGGCTCCCTGTGTGTTTGTAGTCCATGATGGCAGCGCAGTTACTCATTGTTCTGTAACATACATTTATTTCTGATTTGCTTGTTATCACTTGTTGAACTTCGGCAATGTGAAGAAGACTTTGAAGAACAGCAGCTTTGCCTGAGTGTCTCTGAGCAATTAGATTTGGATTTAGGACAACAAAAGCGATCCATATGTTCAAGCCCAGACAGCTGAAGAACAAAGAAGAAATTCATGATAAAATACAGGGCTCTCCCGTATTATAAATCCAGGGTTGCTTTTGTTTGTTTTAGACTTGCTGTCAGTTTGATGAGTACAATGCCTCTTCAGAAAGTTCTGATGTAATCTCACTGAACAGGAAAAAAAAGAAGCAGTGAATGAAAATGCAATTCATTATGAGATCTTCGAGTCAGAGACACAGAGGTTAAAACCTGGCAGTCTTTTATTCACTGTTTATCTGTGGACCACACCATGGATGTTATTTATTTAGGTCTCTATTTCCTTATGTGTAGTGTGGAGATTATATCTTACTTTTGGTGTTCATTGAAAAGATTAAAGAAGGGATTTACACAAACACACACACACACACACACATACACAATAGAGCAACGTAATCCATTTCCTGCTTAGAACATGTTTCTGTGATCTTTTGCTGTTGTTCAATGCACAAGGTATTTTACGTGATATGACACATATGTAGAACCTCAGAATGACATATTTTCTGAAATATTTTGATAAAGCATTAAGGGTAATACTCCATCCTAGTTCATTGTCTTATTTGAGCTTAATGTCTTTAATACATGTTCCAAAATGTGAGCAAAAATCCATGTGAAATAAAAAATACATTTTCACAAGCTTTGACGGAGCAGAAGCCTTTTTCCACATCTTTATTGATCGGCATTAGTGTGACTCAGTGTGGCCTTTCTATTTCCTGTCCCAAGCTCCCTTCTCACCTGCAGCCTTCTTCTGACCCATAAGATCTATTTGTGCCTACCTTACATCTCACAGGACAGGGGTCCTGAAACAGAAACAAAAGGGCATAGTGGTTGAAAGCGCCAAGGTCACACTTGTGACTGTGATGGTCAAGGATGATAAGTGCGAGGATGTAGCATGCTTCTCAGCCATAGGAAATGGGTGGAAGTAGGGTCTATTGTCGGAGGACAGCGGAAGCTGTAGATCAAGGAACACAAATAAAACCAAAGGCAAAGTTCTTACAAGAGTGGTCCACATGGAAAACAAAGGTTGTTAGATGTATGTATTAAATTAGAATTGTAAGATGCAAGATGCAAACGTGAATTGGAAAAATCAGAAGTAAATCATTAATGTATTCGAGCTATATGTTCTTCTCAGCTTGTGTGCATTAATTACTTTTTGATGGTTTTAATGGTTTCTAAATTTCCACTGGTCTCATGACCTTAAAGTCCATATTTTGCAAAAAAGAATACGTTGTAAGCACAGATCTCACAAGTCACGAATACATACCTTTAATGTGCTGTCTTTTTTGAAGAGCACTGAGCAGTATCTGGAGGGTTTTTAGGGATGTAGCTTTCTAGAAGAGAACTTTCCTTGCCAATAATTACCACTGCTCAATCGTGTATTCTTGAATTGATTAAAATGCATAGAAACGTTTATTTATATTGTTATTGAATTGATCAGCGATGTCAGTAAATTGAATGAGAAGCATAAATTGTGGGAGATCATAATCAGTCTCTCAGTCAGTCCTGCCAGTCTGACACGTCTCAGTTTCACCAAAGCTGCACGGATAGAGGAGTCAGGTTAATATAAAGTGAATCAGTGTACTGAAGTGAGCATCATTCTACTTTAAAAATGGCCCAAATAGTTGCTAAAGGAATCTTAGAGTGTATTCACTCACCCAATGGCAAAATTAATGATCTGCCAAAAACATGGTCCTCTGGTTCAAAATCCTTGCGGAAATGACGAGAAAGATTTTCAGTTATGCGTATTTGAATTTTAATCTCTCCAGCTCAAGAGATTTTAAATTTAAAATGGGTTTGACTGTTGCTTTGATATTACCTGTATCCCTCCTTGTAGGTGGATCTTCTTGTCCCTACCAAAGTAACTGGCATAATCACACAAGGAGCTAAAGATTTCGGTCATGTCCAGTTTGTCGGGTCCTACAAATTGGCCTACAGTGATGATGGGGAACGCTGGACAGTGTACCAGGATGAAAAGCAAAGAAAAGACAAGGTGAGTCCCTATGGTGGCCGACAGAGCTCACAGTGGAAGGTAAAACTCAATGAACATTTCATTTAATGAACAGCATTTGCATTTATATTGAAAATAATGACTACATATTCTAAACACTGTGTGTTAAAATGATTTAAAGTATTTAAAGGTGTTTAAAGTAGGGTATATAATAAAGAAACCTAGAAAAGCAATTACCGTATTTTTGATTATGTAAGATATGGCTCTCTAAAATCTCCTCTAGATACAGATGCATACATGCTATTATTATTTCTTAATTGTAAAATAAATTACTGATATTAGAACAAATGTTCATTTGAGAGAAAGATTCAAAACTTAACTATTTAAAAAATTGTATACTATCTTGATTATGTTGACAAGTAGGATTTTAAGAAACACAAGTAGACAAATTTTTACGATTTTATTAATTCATTAAAATAAAAATCAGATATTTTTCTGTTCAGTTTCTTCGATTATAATTTAATTCATAGATTTGTTTAACTTTTTTATGAAATGTATAATGTGATCTTTAATAATTATTGCTATATATACACTCCATAAAATTCTAAGCAGATGATTTCTACTAATTTTTAAAAGTTCTTACCATTTTGAACATCTTTTGGTAGTATTTACTAGTGTCAATTTCCATGGGACCCAGGGATAGGAAGGGTCGGGAAACCATCAGGGCCTAATTGGGAACATAATATAAACTCTGGCCTCATGTGGACCAATGGCATTGGCTGAAGTTGTGGCTCAGAAAGTTTTAGCAAGGAACTCTAGCTTTCTGATAACATGAACAAGAACTCTTGGTTCAAGGATTTGGGGGAAAAGTTATGCTCATCAATGGCATGTTAAGTGTTTCTAAATTAATGATTTTTTTTCTTACTAGCTCTTCTATTTCCTATTACTGCATTATTAACCAAGAGAAAGGTTGAGAATATTTCTCTTTCTTCAAGTGTTCAAGGCAGAGAATTTATGAGTTTTGCCAAAAACATGAGGCCTGTTGCTGCTTTTTCAATGAATCAATAGAGGGTGAATTCAATTCACAAAAAATTCACTTTACAAGGGAATCCAATTTTAGAGTCAGACTCAGCCACATGTATTCACATTTTAACATCTCAGAGCTCATCCCTTAATGTCTCAGGACATAAGCACCTGTTATTTTTTAAAGACTTAGAAATGAATATTCTTCAATGTTACAATTTTTTAAAATTTTATTTTAAACAAAAAAAGTAAACATAGCAATAAAACAGGTTAGTAGGAGAGTAACTAATACATTGTATATTGTTATATTCATAGTATTTGTTCAGAATACAAGATATAGCTATGAAATATTTTCCAAAAAATATTAGCATTAACCTTTCTTTTAAATGAGCTGAGAAAAACTAGCTGTGTAGCTATCTTAACTATCTTGCATATATGTACATATATTTTTTTGTTTGTTTGTTTCTTTTCCTTCCTTTCCCTTTTCTCCCATCACACCTTTTCTTTAGAACAGTTTCTTCTCTATTCAGGGTATCTACTGTAAATTTTGGATCTTGTTCACTCATTCAGTTTCTCATACCAAAGAGACAGTAGGATGCTTACAATGTGGGTCTGATTTGTTTCACTTATGTGTATGGTCTCGAGTTGCATCCATTTACCTATAAAAGTCAAGTTTATCCTTTGTATGGCTGAGTAGAATGCCTTTACTTTAGAAAAAATTCTTTTCAACCATTCCTCAGTTGATGGGCATTTGGATTGTTTCCAAGATTTAGCTATTACAAATTGTGCTGCCATAAACATGAACGCACATATATCGCTGTGGTATGATGTTTCTAATTCTTCTGGGAGGACACCCAGAAGGGGAATAGCTGGTTTAAGTGGGACCTCTAATCCTAGTTTTCTTGGGAATCCCCACACTGATTCTTTTCCTTGAAGTATTTTAAATAATGCATGGTGAATGATCAATGACATTTTAGATTGAATGAGTGTAGTGTTCTTGTAAAACTTTATTTTATGAACCATACACAAATATCACCCACAACCTATTGCAAATAACTATTCTAGTTCCTCTCCTTCATCTTTTAGTGTAGGCACTCAGACACACAGAGAGTATATGTTTCAGACGGGGAAAATTTTAAATTTCTTTATTAATACAGACTTGAAATTCATTTTAAGACAGATAAGTAATTGAGTCTGTTATCCATGAAAAATATTTGCTAAGAAACATTTATAAATAGTGAAATCTTTATGTAGGCCGCTCAGGAAAGAAATGCAAAGAAAAATAAAATTAGAGATTTCACCCATGGAAATAATTCTTGATCTCCATTTATATTAAATATGTGCCTTAATAATATAGGAATAGAGTAAATCTCTTTAATAAAATAAACATTTGCTTATAAATGATTTTATTTCATTATTCTAGTCTGAAAATATATTTTTTTTGGTCAAATTTGTCCTCTTGGTGAAATATGATATTCAAGTATTCTAAAGCCTTACTGATTTTTCAATCTATTTGGCCTATCCCTTACCTAGAGTGGAAAGTGAAAATCCACAGTTATAAGGATAGATTTGTCTATTTCTCTTGCTATTATATCACTGGTTGCCTAAGGCATTTTGAAAAGATTTGACAAGATCATGTCCCAAAGAGAAAAATAAAATACTTTTCCTTAAAGGCCTGGGGATATAGCTAGATGTGAATAAAGGCCCTGAGTTCAATTCACAGTGCCTCAAATAACAAAACGGACATAAGATTTTAGTATCCATTTGATAAATTTTTTTATCATGTGATATGTTTTGCTCTAAAATTTCTTTTGATATTAATGAGTTATTCCAGTTTCCTTTTCGTTGCCTTCATGCATGCTTTTTTTTTATCATTTTATTTATCTGGATTCTGTGTTTGAAATGCGTTTTCTGTGTAGTGTGCAGATAGGTCTCTGCTTCTATCTGCTTCATTAGTGCTTGTTTGAAGTATACAATGAGCACATCATCATGAGGGGGCTTGTTGTGCATGTAACACATTCAAATTTTTTATCGTTTCATCACTTTCCTTCCTCTCCTTCCAAACCATCTCTATCTTCCTATTCACAAAAGCTCGACCTCCATTTTTCCTTCAGTTCTTTTTTTCCTTTAAATCCCTTTTCCTGTCCTTGCTTCCTCCTTTCCTATCTCTTCTTCCCCTTCCCATTTGAACAGTTTCTTCCTACTTCAATTACCTATGCTCTATTTCGCTCCTCATTTATACTTTGAGTTTATCGCACAAGAAATAATGTGATATTTAAATGTGTGTTTGATTTATTTCACTTTGGTTACGGGGTCAAGTGTATCCATTTGCCTTTTAACTCAAGCATTTAAACCACTTCTACTTGACTTGACAACTGATTGGTCTTAAATTGATCATTTTTCTCTTTATTTCCTATTTGTTATATATTTTTTGCCTTCATTTGGATGAAATGAACATTTAAAGATTGCATTTATCTCCTTTGTAGATGTGTTAGCTCTAATGTTTTGTTATTTTAGTGATTGCTTTAGGATTGTGGTGTACATTTAAATTTATGAAACCTGCCTTCAGTGGATATTCAGGGTCAGGAACTGACAGTACCTCCAAAAGCACAAACAAAGCAGACTGTGGCTAAAAACTCATGTGCTTAGGAACCGCACTTATTACAGCATACGGCTTTATTATTACCAAAATAAGTCTGAGAAACTGGCTTCTACTAGTCAACTTGAAAAACTGTGAGAGTAGAGTGATATACGATGCTATTTACTGGAAGAGTGCAAGGCAGAATTGTCATGTAACAGAAGTTAATGTGCTACCTACACAATGTCAAAACTTTCAAAAAATCAAACCTCTTTAATATTATAAATATAGGAACTTCTGTGACAGTCAGTTTTCTCTTCACTAACCCACAACACCAAGTCGTTTAATTTGTTCATGGTTTCAGCTCCTCCAAGGCAGAGCCATCAGGGCAGGAGAGTGTGGTGGAACACATCTGCTTAGTTCATGATGGCCGGAAAGCAGAGCAGCAGACAGCACCAGAGAGGAAGGGGTGAGAGTGCAGATACAGACCTCAAGGCCACAGCTCCATGACCCCCAGTCATGTCAGGGGTGCAGTTTACTACTCTGTTGTTTCTTAATCCAGTGGTGCAGACAGCATTTAACTGATAACTTTAACATTAAATCTACCTAGTTAGTTTATAGACTTATAAGTAGGTTGAGTAAAATAATTACTATTTACTTTTGAAAGAGACCATGAACTGTAAAAAAAAAAAAAAATGCAGCAATTAATATTACCATAAGGAAATAATTTGTGTAGAATAAGGAGGTACAGGGCAATGAAACTATCCATCCTCACATAGAATGGAATTCAAAAAAAAAATTAAAAATACCTGGAAAGGTAGGTATATCAAATAATACTATCTTTTATGGGTATAAAATAATTCTTGTGCTTTGTTACTGTTGTCACTGCTATTAGATGTTTTATCCATACTTTTCTATATCCCTTCTAAATCTCAAAAGAAGGCCACAGTGTAATTTAGCAATAGTTTCTCTGAATTTGAATGAGTCATCTCCTACTAATTCTTGATGATATTTGCACCTTGTTTTTATGCTTATTTTCCATAAAAGGAAAAAGTTTTCAGTATTTGCAAGTGCAAAGTCAACTATAAGGCTTTTTGAAAATAAATATGCTAAATTATTTAAACATTTCAGGGCAAAATATGTGTCTGTGAGGTGTTTTCTGGTTGCACATTTCTAGTAGAAATATTCACAAAAGTTTCTTCTTTCTGTCTCTCTGTCTCTGTTTGTCTCTGTCTGTCTGTCTCTCTCTCCATCTCTCTGTCTCTCTCTGTCTTGTGTGTGTGTGTGTGTGTGTGTGTGTGTGTGTGTGTGTGTTTACTGTCTTTTATTGATTACTTGATTTACCAGAGTAAGGGAGAGAAGTGGTGTGGAAGTATAACGTAAATCCAGATACAAGATTACATCAAAAAAAAATAGCCTCAAAATATAGCAGTGTTTAGGC